CACACACACACACACACACACACACATAATAAATAAATAAATAAATAAATAAATAAATAAATAAATAAATAAATAAATAAATAAATAAATAAAACCTGTGGAGTCCATTATATGTTGATCAACCACTCCTGAGCCTGAGCATGAGGCCTGTTCTGGAGTGGTTGATCTACCTAATCTCACTCTTTCGGAGAAAAATGATTTTCCCTCTCCCAGCAGGTATAAATGACAATTCAGTTGTTAACCTTTACCCCAGTAGCTAGGCTTTCATTCATTCATTCATGTCTTTCAAATAACACAAAATAATGTACATTAAGATAAAACAAAAGTTATCACATAAAAGTTGAACAAGACAATCCAACAGAAGGAAAAGAGCTAAAAAGAAGGAACAAGAATCAGAAACCCACTTGTTCCCAACTCAGGAATCCCATAAAAACACTACACTGGAAACCATAATATATATGCAGAGGACCTGGTACATATCCATGTAGGCCCTGTACAAGCAGCAATTGGATCAGTTTGTGGAGAGCAACCTACATAATTTTGGCAACAGCTGGGTTGTTTGGGGATTAGAACCTCTTCAGCCAACAACTTAATTAGATGTAACTCCCACCTCATCTATCCATCCATAATTATCTATTTTATTTCAATTTTCTAACATATTGTCTATTCCGGTTAGTCCTTTACCTTTATCTACCTGGTTTATCCACCTTCTCTGATTCTATGGATTCTAGCTTGGTTATCACTAAGTTTCCAGCTACTATCCATGTAAAAGCAAATGCACACCATATTCATCTTTCTAAGTCTGGGTTACCTCACTCAGGATGATTTTTCTAGTTCCATCCATTTGCCTGAAAATTTCATGGTGTCGTCTTTTTTTTTAATGGCTGAGTAATAGTGCATTATGTAAATGCAAATGTAAACACATTTTCTTTATTCATTCTTCTGTTGATGGACATCTAGGTTTTGTTTCCAATTTCTGGTCATTACAAATAGAGCAGTAGTGAACATGGTTGAGCAAGTACCTCTCTAATAGGATGAAGCTTCCTTGGGGTAAATGCCCAAGAATGGTATAGCTGGATCTTGAGGTGGATCAATTCCCATCTTCCTAAGGAACCGCCACACTGATTTCCATAATGCCTGTACAAGTTTATTCTCCCACCAGCAATGGATGAGTGTTCCTCTTACTCCACATCCTCCCCAGAATGAACTGTCACTTGCCTAATCGATCTCAGCCATTCTGACAGGTGTAAGATGAAATCTCAAAGAGGCCTGGATTTGCATTTTCCACTCTTTGTCTTGACTCTTCCTTCTCTGGTAGTGTTTTATTGATTATCAGAACAGTAGATTTTAATGTAGTTTCAATTTCCCCTTATTAAGGACTTTCTAGGTCCCCTGAAAAGGTCCCTATTGTTGCTTCATTTTTCTCCAATACACTTACAAGTTTTATCCTTCCTTTTCACATGTAGAATTCCAGTCCACTTGGCAATGTGTGTAGTGATGACATGAGAAAGGCATGAACTGATTTTTTTCTATAGAGTAGTCAATTGATTCTGCATCATTATATATTAATTAATTAACTAATTAATTCAGACATTATGTATTGAGAAAACTACCTTTCCCCTGTCCTATGAGAAATATGACACCCATTTCCACAAAATAACTGTTCATATATGCCTAGAATTTAATTCAGTACAAAATATAAACCCTGCAGCCTTTTATATACTCAGCATTCCTCGGTGGCTGTCAGAGTTGGGCCCCAGCAGCAGCATTGGTAACATCTGGGAACTTGGTCAAAACACAAATTCCAGTGCAAAAAAAAAAATTGCAATAATCTTAAACTGAATAGAAAACCCTTATAAGACATAGGAGCTTGCAAAGTTTGGGGACCAGCCCTTTGAATGATTTTGAAATCAATGTTCATACTTATCTCATACTTCTCATTGTTCCTCCCCAAATCTCTGAGTTTCAGTATAGAATTTCTTACTTTAATTTTTATCTAAAGAACACCTTCTAACACATTCTTCAGTACTTGCTTATGTACCTAAATCACCTCATTTTACATCTACTTTCCAACAGTATTGTGATAATGGTTGGATTCTAGATGGATGACAATTTTCTTTAAATATATTAAATATTTTTTCCATTTTTCCTGGATTCTCTTATTTCTGTTGTAAACTGACAACATTTTCACTGTTCTTTTGAAAGTAATCTCTATTTTTCTCTAATTGATTCTATTTTGTCTAGTTATATTTAAGTTTCAGTCATTTTTCACTGATCTTTATTACTATTCTTTTAATCTTACACAACTTTC